GAAGAAGAAGAAGAAGAAGAAGAAGAAGAAGAAGAAGAAGAAGAAGAAGAAGAAGAAGAAGAAGAAGAAGAAGAAGAAGAAGACTGGCCCTTCTGCTGATGCCTGTTCTGGTTTACTGGCTTTCCATGTGATCTCTCCCTCTGTATGATGTCATCTGCCACTATGTGATACAGCCAAGGGGGCCTTCACCAGAACTGGGGTAATAATGAGCAGATGAGTGGCAAGTGCTGGGATTTGGAACTTCAAACTGATAACGTGGAGAATAAGACCACTACCACAATTTGAGCTAAATTTAAAGCAAGCTTGATTTTTTTATTGGGATATACCCAAGAGCTGGCTAGTGACTGCCTCCTAAGTCAGGTTAAAGAGAGCAGCCATTTTTTGAGCCCCTTTTAAGAAGAAAATTCATGAGTAGTTCTACAGAAGAGAGATGATAGGGCAATAAGGAAATAAAACCCCACCAAAACCTAAAACAAAACAAAACTATTGGGGGATTTATTAAGGCAACTCCATTTAGTTAAAAAGGTTTATTTTCGGGGTAACTAACAGCCAGTAAAGGGGTTGGTTACAGGATCCAGGAGAGGTGAAGTGCAGTCCAGCAGGCTTCTCTGGAGAACTCTGCTCAGTCTACCATCCAGCATACAGGATCACAAGGCACCAAGAAAGCCAGCATATCCAGATCTCAGGCCTTAAGGGCTCCCATCTAGGCCCCGCCTCAGGGGCAGGTTATAGGTAGGCCTGGCAGTTACAGGAAGCCTCACTAGGGGTGGTACTTCCAGGTCAAACCTGGAACAGCTACCCACGGCACAAAAATATCATGTGATCAGCATGATGATGGTGACCATGGTCACCATGATTGGGAAAAGTTCAGGGGAGGGTCAAGGAGGGTCGGGGAGGATCAGGGTATCCTTAAAAACAAGTCAAAGTCATGGGTTAGGAAATGTCAGGTTCCTGGAAACAGAGAGCAAGTCAGCTCCTACAGCAAGCAAAGACTTATCTTTAACAACGTAGCATGATCACTCTTGCCTTCAAACGGGAGTCCGGCAGGTTCCTCAAAAGTACTAAAATTAGCGTTACACCATTGCACCTCTGGATGGGAGATGGTGAGAGCTACTTATGGTGGGGTACATGGCAATAGACAAAAATACAAGGGACATCCTTGAGACTGGACAGATCTTGGCCAGTATCCCAAGGTACGTGGTCTACATTGAGATTCTCTTTCAACTTGACATTTATTCTCAGCTTCCCTGAGGTGTGTCAACCCAGTTCATATGTCCATTTAAAGCAAAGGTCACTTAGACTTGTTAAAAAAAGACAAGTCAAATGAGAAAGGAATAAATGAATAAACATTTGCTGAGCACCTTCAGATATCAAGCGTCACCCTCCTTGCTACCCAGGTCACGGAAGGACATCTCATGTCCTCACCCATGTTACAGAAGAGCAGATGAGATGTCATGGGTGCTCAGACATAAAGTGTAAGTCAAATGACCCTAGTGACCTCATCATAGACTTGATGAAAGCTTATTATCACCATTATTTAAAGTCTCTCATAGGCCAAGCACTGTGCTAGGTCCTTAGCTGGTGCCTTCAACACAGGCCAGAGCATAGTAGAAGAAATTAAGAAGTGGACCCTGTGGTGCGTGCGATGGCTGTGATGATTAGAGCTTCATGGTGCACTGTGGGAGCCGATAGCAAAGAATGACCGATCCATTAGGAGCAGAAAGTCTCACGCTGATGCTGAGTCTTGGAGGATGAACAGAACAGAACCTTCTTTTACTCATTCAGCTAGCGTATACTGAATTTCTTTAGGTTCCAAGCATGGGCCTAAGCCCTGGAGCACAGTGACAAGTACTGGAGGAAATGTCCCTTTGCAAAGATTCTTGTAGTAACTAATGTCATCCCTATTTTAGGAGGGGAAAAAACAACTGCTCTTGTTTGTTATTAGTTTTTGTTTCTTGAGACAGGGTTTCACAAAGTCCAGGCTGGCTTTGAATTCACCATGTAGCTCAGACTCCTCTCAAAATCACAGAAATTAACCAGTCTCCACCTCTTAAATGTTGTGACTACAAGTATGCACCATCCAACTGTTTATATAATATCCCACGTCTTGACTTTACTAATGTCCCCAGGGCCACTGAAATACACTCAGGGTAGTTACCTCAGGACTATGTTATAAAGTGCCCAAGCAGGGAACCTGAGCCTGGGCTGTGCGCTCATATCCAGAATCTCGACATCCCGCTTGCCAGAGACAAACCCCTTCTTTGCTGCACTATATAGACTTCTGAGCTGTTGCAGGGCCCACCGAGGAAAGTATGAGGAGTTAGAGATAAAGAAGGGAGGCCAGCCGTGGGGGACTCATGCTTGGAACCTAGCAACTTGGATTGCTAACCTGGCCTATAGAGTGAGGCCCTGTCTCAAAATTCCAAAAAGTAAAAGGAAGGAAGGAAGGAAGAAAAGGAGGAAGGGAGGGAGGGAGGACCATTTAGCCAGGTGTGGTAATGTATGCCTGGAATCAATTTTAGCCCTTGAGACGGGGAGGCAAGAAGATCTGAAGTTCAAGGCCAGATTTGGCTACACAATAAGTTGAGGCTAGCCTGAGCTATATAACACCCTGCTTAAAAAAATAAATAAAAGGAGGAAGAAGATGAGGAGGAAAGGAGGAAATAATGAAAAGGGTGGAAAGCCTTAGAGAACCTACTTAGCAGCTTGACCGTACACACAAACAGGAAACCGCATCTGACCGCCCAAACACATGCGAGCTAGAAAACCTCCATGTGTGAAATGGCTGTGTAGTGTGACTTTGTGAAAGTGAGGAAATTGAAACCTTTGCAACCTACAGAGTCCAAATAGGGTAGATATTAGGGGGCGAAAAGGATTCACTCATGGAAAGAATCCATCAAGGAAAGGGTAGACTTTCTGTAGCCATGGAGAGGCTTCAGGTGCTGTCTGCATTGAGGGGAATGGGACAAGGACTTTCTGTCATCAGAGCTGCAACTTCCAGACTTTTGGAAAGAGTTCAGAAAGAAAAGCAATAAGCTGAACAGTCTATATTGTGCATAAGACATTTGCAAATGCCTTTCAGAAAAACCAAAGTGCTGGGTATAGTTGATAGGTAAAGAATTCGTCTAGCATGTACAAGGCTCTGAGTGCAATCATAGCACCAAAATACAATTACTACTACTAAAATAATTCTCACAATAAAATTTAAAGCTAGGCACAGTGATTCTTTCCCATGTTCCCAGTATGTAGGAGGTTGGGGTAGGAAGATTGTCATGAGTTTTGGGCCAGCCTGAGCTCCTCAGTGAGTTTTTGATCAGTCTGGAATATAGTGTAAGATCCTGTCATAAGGGCAAGGAAAAAAAAAAAAGAAAAGAAAGGAGGTGAGGAGAGAGGCAAAAATGAAAGAGAGAAAAGAAAGAACACAAAGAGCCATCAACAAATATAAAAACAAAAACAAAAGCAGAAATCATTTCCCTCTACATTCAGAAGTCACCTTTCAGCACACACATCAGCAAACTTTGCCATGCACACATTGCAATTGTAACAAATGGCTCTCTATACATGATAATTTTTAGCTGGATTCTCTCTCTCTCTCTCTCTCTCTCTCTCTCTCTCTCTCTCTCTCTCTCTCTCTCT